TGTAACTCATATGACCAGTTTCTTATACCTTATGTAACATCTATCACATTTATCTATCCACATTACTACTCCTCATTCTACGTATTGAAGAGATGGAAGACTTTTTCACCTATAAATAGTGGTGTTTCTTCCTTTGAAGTATCTCAAGAAAGATGAGAAGTGTGAAATAATATAATAGTGTATAGTAGTGAAAGAGAGAGTTGCGACAAAAAAAATATTATAAGTCTTCAACTATATTCACTATATACAAGAGAGTAATTATATGTTGAAGGAATGTGTTCTTTTGTGGAGCTTTGGACTCTTCAACTAGTTCGGAGTTGCTTCATGAGTTGTACGACGTTGTTGGGTTGTTGTATTCTGGAGGGGACATGTCAAGATATTACTGCTAGATCAGTTTAGATTATGCCGCACTGGGCTTGAATCTCCTTAAAGATAACGAGTTATCCGTGCCTCAGCCTAAAGATTTGTTTGTTCATTTTTGTAATTTTATTTTCAATTGTTATTTATTATATTTGTGGTATATTACATCAACATTTTATGTGACATTGTTTATTTTGACACAATATTTAATAGAAAGAAAAAACTTTTAAAACTTACGGTCTTAAATAATTTTGAACATTTATGTGGTCATAAATCTTTTCATTAAAGAAATTTTTTTTACAATTGACTTGTTTCTTATTATAGTAGGATAACGTTCTTTTTAGGAGACAAAAAAATGTAAGTTTATAGTAATGAATATACTTGGCTACACGCGCAACGTGCGTACCCAAAAACTAGTATTGAAAACGAGTAAGTTTTTATTGCTATACCCTATATATTAATTATTAGACTGATCAATACTAGCACAATGCATTTAAAGGAGAGTGTAGTTTGGTGGGAACGCAGGAAATGTAAGTAATTATTTCCTCGATCGTTTCATATTATTTAATTCATATTGATTTGACATTTTCTTTTAAGTAATGAAAACACTTTTAATATCATAAAATAAAAATTAAAAAAATTATTTAATATGTATACAGATCAAGTAAATAACACCAAAATGAATATTAATAAAAGTGACAAATAAAATGAATATTAACAAATGTAATTTAATAGAAAATAATGATTTAATCAAACTGACACAATATCCATAACATATCAGCTGATTGTGATAAAAATAATATAAACAAATTAATCAATAAAAATCCTAATATTTTGAGAAATAAGGATAATTATCAATAAATTGCATTAAATTACAAAACATGTATTTTGAACTATTTAATGAATAAACTATTTAAAAATATTAACTTTTAAAAATATCAAATCAAAATTTGGTGTCAACACTTAGTTGTTTGACACACTCATTATACCATGTAAACAAAAAAGTGTCAAAATGACACAATAAGATCCTACATAAAATGTCTAAAATAAATATTGTCCAGTTAACATATCCAAGTTAAATATCTTCCAAACTTTAGTGGCCACCGATGGATTAGAACTAGATATTTCTTTAGCACAATGAATCATTGCAGGAAGTAGAGTTAATGACCTCAACATCAAAGGAAGCTCAAAGAAGAAAGCTTTGAAAATATGCTCTCACGGATATGTGCACCCAAAAATTAGTTTATGTGATGATATTTGGCTTGATACAAAATTTTAAAAGAAAGATTTTTAAAATTTATGATCTAAAATGGGTCATAGATATTTATATGATTGTAAATCATTTCAGGGTTAAATTGGATATTCAAAAGTTAAATCGTTACTAAATATAGAAATATGTAATAAATTTTTAACTTACTAAAAAATGATAGTGTCACATAAATTGAAGTCGGAATTTTCTGTAAAACTCTTATACTTGGCTCAAATTGTGAAGTGCATCTTTCTACTCCATGAAATTCCAATTAGACACTTACACTCGAATAAAACAATAATTTTTAGCCCCTTTAAATTATTTAAGCTTATGTGACATTCATTTAGCTGAGTTAGAAAAGTGTGTTATACACGGAGATAAGAGTGTGAATTGATCTAAAAGTTACTTAATAAATAATAAAGAAAAAAATAACCTACTTAAAAGACAAAAGGCAAAAAAAGAATAAGAAAAACACCCCCCCCCCCCACCCTAGTTGGAAAATAGTACACTACCCCCACTAGCTATATAAGTATCATCTCCAATCAATTAACTTTTCTTTGTAATCTCACTTTCCCTCACCATTCAAATGAAAATTACAGATTCATCAAAAATTCAACAAGAAAAATAATTAGAAAAGAAATTTTTTAAAAAATAACTTCTCCAAATAGAAGCTCAAATCAGAAATGGATTTGTATGAAATCAAAAATAACATGAAAAGTGATTATTGTTGCTACTAATTGTCCCTTCTTATCTTTTCAAAAGCAAAACTTCTAAAGAACAAATAACAATTTTTCATCTCTTCTTAAAATCTAGATACAACTTTTGAATATTTATTTATCCTTTCTTCTTTCAAGCTAGATTTTTTCTTCAAATTTCAAGCTTTCTGGTGTCAGAGTTAAGTATTTGAAAGTGGTTCATATATACCTTTATCGTTATACAAATGACTTACATATATCACTACTGTTACAAAAGGAACTCACATATATCCTTCATTTAGCGGAAGTGAAACAAATAGTTTTTGAAGTTTATATTTTTGACTTTTATATTTTTTTTAAAATTTGTATTGGAGTATATATAATCCTTCTAGCAAAGTTCAACGTATATTAAAAAAAAAATTCATACATAAATTATTTTTATCTTTTTATATTATCATTATTTGAGTTTTAAATTCTCTTTTTCTTTTTCTTTTTTTTTAAATAACAATCATACTCTTTTCTTTTTCTTTTTTTTTTAATTAAAAGATATAAATAGAGATAAGTACAAGTAAGGAGGGCTAGGCCTTACCTTACTAATCCTAATGAGACAACAAATCTCTACTAATTAACAAGCATGAAGAAAAAAAGAACTAGAGAAAACTAGGTATTCTATGATCATCATGAAATTTATAATACTCTTTATGATGATATTACAAATGAAGATGATTAAGTAATGCAAGAATATAAAATCTAAGAATAAAGATGAGTTAGCCACCTCAAAGTTCATTTGATATATGTATGAACTAAAACATATAGTTTGCCCGACTAAAGTAATCTGAAGTTTTTGCCTCTTGTCTTCTTCAAATCTGTCCAAAAATAATTTATAGTTCATCACTTTTTGGATTTATTGGATCTTGATAAAGTTGTTGACACTGTCATATGATTTTGCTTTGCTAGTCGCATCGGTAGGTGCCTTGGAACAAAATCCTCACTCACCTTACCATCCCAACTATGTTGTCTTCCATGTGTCTTCTTTTTGCATTTGGTGCTTCCACTTCTTTGTTGTCTAGGTGAAAGGTCCCCCTCCTTAGCCACCTTATCAAAGCATATATCCAACATTTCTTCTTCATCATCTTCATCATCTTCATGATCTTCATCTTCTCCATCAGACATGTCATTGCCCAAGTCATAAAGAATATCTCCATCTGCCACGTTTACTTTTGTAGCACTCAAGTTAGATGATGTACCTATGACTGCCATCGATGGATTTGTTTTACTTGTAGGCACAAATTCAAGTGCTTGAGGGCTTAACTTACTCCTACTAGGTGAAGGAGTATGATTCTCTTCCTCAACTAAATCTGCGCATCTTGAAGCACTCCCCACCCCTCGTTTTTCCTTAGATTCATTCAAATTGTTTGTAGCCACCTCTTGATCTAAAATAAACATGGTAGGTGTATTTGGATTGATTTCCTTGCCATCTATCTTCTCCGTAACAATGAACTCCTTTTCATGTGTCACAAGAGCTTGCTGATTAGTAAGCTCATCGTGACAACATTGTTTCAACTTTTCTGTTTGCTCAATCTGCTTGTCCAAGTCTAAAGTATTCCCAGATTCAGCAAATAATTCATCTGTAACATGTAGCCCTTCATATTGTCCAAACTTCTCATCTCGCAACACATCAAACTGAGTACATTCAACGACATTATTACTCCTATCAAACTCAACATGTGTAGAGTTTTTTTGGTGCAAAATGTGATTATTTGAGGACTTAGAGCCAGCCGATTTTTTATGTGAGACCAAAGTCCATTGATTACTGGATTTTTCTGCTGTAATGTTACCTTTTTTGGCTTCATCTTGCATTGATTTAGTAACCACGACTGCATTAGGTGAATCCAACTCGCTATCTTTCACAAATCTAGACAATAACTGATCTGCAGCGAATTGTGATGTAATGATCAATTGCCTTGAGTTATTATCTACATTATTTTATGGCGTCTCGTCCACAGCTCGAGGCTGGGGAGAGACTGTTTCGGCCATGGAGGCCTAAAACTCCATAGGAGTCTCCTAAACAAAAATATTAAAACTAATTCTTTTGTGGCTATATTGTAATTTAGTTTTTGTATTTGTAGAAAAATGGTCATCTATAATAAATTTTGCAAGAAAATTAGTGAAACACAAATAAATTTGACCATCAAAATAATAAATTTAAATCATTTGTTGAAAAAAAAAAGTAAAAAAAAAAAATACGTGTGAAGATGATCAAATATACCCAATATGGATTATATTTTTTTTCAAAAAAAGAATTAAAAAAATATATTACAATTAATTTTTTTCACTTATGTGTAGAGGAAAATGGTATATGTGAGTCATTCGTATAATAGTAGACATATATATGTGTCACTTTCACAACGAGAAGTATATCAGCTCTAAATAGCAAAGTTGAAGGGTATATCAGACCTATTCCCTTAAATTAATGAGATAGATGTAATGTGACTTATTTTCTTTGACTTGGAAATGATGTGTCATTCATATTAGATCGAGTGAGGTAATGACAATGACAAAGACAAAATGACTTAAAATTCGAAGTTTGTTCGAGCATAAGTGTCTAGTTGAAACTTTGTAAAGTAGAAGAGTCCAAGTCACAATCTAAGTCAAGGCGTTATATTGGATTGCTTTCTCATTGTTCTCTTTTTTTGGGGTTTAACATTTAAGGGCGGGAAGCTAACTTCTCTAAACCGCCGGCGAGGAAGAAAGGGAGAGAGCGAACGGAGAAGAGAATGAAGTTCGCTGTAAAGGCATGGAGCAACGGCAAAGCTCGATCTGGGATTCTTCAGCTAGGAAGCTGTCCTCATAATATTGAGACACCTGCTCTCCTCCTCACAACTCGTAAAGGCTTGCCTGTTTACATCCCTCCTGATCATCTCCCTTCCCTCCCTTCCCCGGATTCTAACCTCCTCCATTTCAGTCCTCTTCACTTGTAAGTTTTCCTTGCTTATCTCTATGTTTCTACTTTTTCTCTTGTTATTATTTTGCTATTTGTCTGAATCCATTGGGTCGCACACAAGGTGTTTGTCGTTTTGTCCATGCTGTAAATTTGTTATAATTAAGGTAAAGCTATGTAATATACTGTTTCTAGAGGCGTACCCACGATCAGTGGCGGAACAAGAAATTTTATTAAGGGGTTCAAAATTTGAGAAGTAAACACACGAACTAGTGGAAAGGGGTTCGACATCTATTATACATACCTAAAAAATAATTTTAACCATGTATAAATAGTAATATTTTTCGCCGAGGGGGTTCGGATCCCCCTCATTATATGTTGCTTCCGCCCCTGCCCGCGATTTGAAGATTCTGGCTGCAACAATATTATCTTAATTTGGGCATTAACGAAACTTTATTAATGAATAATGTCGTATTGGATTGATCACTAATGGCTTGAACAATATTGAAAATATTAAATACAAATATATAGACCAAATAATGGTCAAGTGGGTTTGTTCGTTCTATTGAATGATCAAGAGTTAGCAATTTTAATGTTCTAAATAAGCCCCCTTTGAATTCAAAGCTTAAATAAAAACAATAAAATGGGGTTCTATCTGGGATCGAACCCTGTTCGCGTTGGCAGGTGTGTAGGCTTGTACTAGTGGTATCAAGTGCCCCTGAAACTTATATGAAGTTTCTGATAGTTTCTCGAGATAGATATACGTATATATACATGATTTTTTTTAAGTTAACGGGTGCACCTGCATCCCACCTATACGTGTGGGTCCGCCTCTGGCTCTTTTTCTTATTTCTTCAAGAGAAATATTAAAATAAAGTATTACCTCTCTATTAGTTGTAGTATTAGATAATGTGAATCATAGTCAGAGTTTCAAGTGCAGTTATTATTCAATTATAATAATAATTTCTAAATACCTAGCCCCAAGGAAATGATTTTGCCCGTTGAACATCATTTGGATGGCTTCGGATTATTTGCATGATTTCATATGCCTTTGACGGGATTTGATTCAAAGAATCCATCATGTATATGAGGGTTTCACTAAATACAAACCTTATAAAATATAGTGTCCCATGATGAAGATCAACATAAATAAGGTAAAAGGTCTATTCTAAGAAAAGAATGTTGGTCTTTCAACCATAGAACCTTTTTTGTGGTACAATGGAAAATAGTAAATAAATTTCCTAAGATCCTTCAGAAGCTGTATGAACTCCATTCCGTTGATTGAATCTTTACATACTAGTAAATCATCATCATGCTTATAATATTCATTTGCTAGAAAATTTGCTTGTAGAATCAGTTAAACCAAGCTCTAGGAGATTTTCAATTTGTACAAGGCTTTCTTTACTCTGCATACCTTTCCTTGACTTTGTTTAGTACCTTAACCAGGAGGAATCTCCATGTACACCTCTTTTTCTAGGTCTTCGTGAATAAAGACATTCTTCATATCAAACTGTTGTACCCACTTAAGATTAGCTGCATCTGACAAAAGAATTCTAATAGTGTTTATTTTTGCAACAAGAGAAAATGTCTCTTGATAATCCCACTCCATAAGTCTGAGTAGTGTTTATTTTTGCAACAAGAGAAAATGTTTCTTGATAATCCACTCCATAAGTCTGAGTGAATCCCTTAGTCATCAATCTTTCTTTGTATCTATTGCAACCAACCAACTTTTTGTCTGGTGTTGATGTGAAAAGTTCCCAAGACTCACTCTTTGATAAGACCTTTATTTCTTCAATCATAGCTTGCTTCCATTTAGAATCTGCAAAAGCGTTCCTCCAATTATGGGGAATATAGATAGAAGAAATAGACAAGGCAAAGGCTCTATAGGAGGGAGACAAAGATTAATTTTTTTTTGAGACTAAGGTAACTTTGTATTCAAACAAAAAATCTATAATCCAAAAAATGATGAATTGAAAACTTTCATTCCACATAGTGGTGAGCACACCCCCAATTGGGTACTTTTACAAGTTCCCTATAAAGTCTACTAAATGTCTAAATCTTCTGTCTCCCCTACCAATTCTTGTTTACACCAAAACAAATAGAAGGCTTATACACTTCATCTTAATCTTCTATATTTGATTCTCTGATCTTCAAAACACCTAACATTCCTTCTCTCCACAAGGTCCACCATATACAAGCTGGTATAGTCTTCCACCAATCTTCTTCTCTCCCTCTTTTCCCATCTCCCGACAACTATTCATCAACTCCAAGGTTGTCTTGACTCTTGGGCATCACCCAGCTAACTCCTAATATGCACAGGAAACTATTCCCATAGGCTTGTGGCAGTATTGCAATGGAGAAACAAATGACTAGTGATTTTTGCTTCCTGCTCATACATTAAAACATCTAGAACATATCTTCCATCAATATTTTGAGCCTTTTGCGCTTTATCCAACAATGCCTCGCTAATGGACAGTCCCTCTGTATCTTCTCCAGTATTCTCATCCTTTTTTTTTCATTTTGTTTGTACTGATTAGTAGCCAAAACATCATCCGCTTCCTCAATTTTATCATCCGTCAGAGTATCTTTAGTAATTCCATCTTTCATCCTCTTAGTACTTCGATGTAGAGATTCACTTTCATTCTTTGGAAGTTCTTGTCTATTAGGATTCTTTTTAGCCTTATTCATTCTTAGTTATCAGACAAGCAACACACACACAATGAAGGATATCCAACAATTGAAAACCAGCAATTTTAAATCTATAAAAGCATAAAGAAGAGGAGTTGCAGAACCTTGCTTGCTCTATAGCTCGAGGAAAAACAGAACATATGTGCCTCACTGTAGTCTTCCAAGTTCCAGCTGTCACTATTCTTCTGGATTAGTCCATCAAATTGCCGCTAGATCTGTCAGAGCTTATATCTTGAGAAAGAAACAGCGGAGTACAGTTCCTTGTTTGGTCAATGCAATCTGGAAGACCCAGATCCATGCAATTCAGAGTTGAAGCTGAAATATTATCCCAATTAAGCTCTGATCTACCAAATATCATCCAGCAATGAAATCGATAGGTGAATCGCAAGAGATCTTGGAATTAGGTTTTGGACATTGAGTGAAAGAAAAGGCTGGTGGAGCTCTTAGTGTGAGTTTGAACTTGGCTGTAATCTCACAAAGTGGGTTATTCTGCTCAAAGTTGGCTGCTGGAATCATTGATTTGGATGATTAAATGCTAAGGAGTAGGAAATCCTAAACCCCTATTTCTAGAGAGAGAGAGAGAGTCTCCGCTCGGCCCCTGATGTATCTAACTGAAAACTTGGATTTCTTTCTATTAAAAATCACCTCTGGCTGTAGTTCTAATGCCTGCTTTTCTCTTTATGGGGCACAACATCATCATTTGTTAAAAGTTGACATTCTTCTTCTTCCTGTTCTTGTATGTTACACAACACATACGTTTTCCTCTTGTAATTGGAGCTGAAGCGTTTAACCTTTTAGATGAGGTGATTCACACAACTCAGCTTTGTCTAATTTCCTTTTTCTAGCTTGGAAGGCATTTCCCTGAAAGCAATCTCAAACATTGGAGGTCTGCACCCATTGCTTGGGTTACATGATCATATAATGGTAGCTGTGCCAAGGGATTCTATTATATCTATTCCAGACCATGACAGTACTAACAGGATTGGAGCTTCTTTTGAAACTCCTTGTGGTCGTATGTTGGTAATTTGTTTATTCTTTTCTTTCTTATTTATGTTTATAATTATAATTAGACCACCTTCTTGATTTAGTGCCATCACCCCAGTTATGATCCATTTTCTTGTATTTTTCCTCCCATCAAGTTTATTTGTTCAATGAAAATTTTTCTTTGCCTTGCTTGGCAGATTAAGCCTGCAGATTACATGGAAATGATTTCATCAATGAGGCCGAATTTATGGGCCACTTTAGCTGATGAAGTTCCTGCTTGGGCTTCTGAAAAGAGGAACAAAGCCTCAGTTGAACGTACATTAAAATGGCTCGACGAATGCATCACTTCAAACTCGGTAGGCATGTCATACTGTCTATTTATCTATTCTCTGCTTTGTTAGCACTGTGTATGCAAATATGCTTAATTACAAGCCTGAGTTTGATGTCATATGCAATGTGAAAAGCATGCAGAGATGCCTATATAGGCTTGTCTGTGGAACTTCTATTGCTGGTTGAACACCACTTCATGGCAAGAAGCAATAACTCAAGAGTTCCTTTTCTGTAAAGTACCTAAAGTGGAGGTACATTTATTACAACATTTCCATAATCTGAACATAGGACAGCACAATGTACTCATCATTGTATTGGTGAATTTTTTTTAAAAAAAGGGAACTAATTTGATTTGTCGTTCAAAGTCGTTAACCTTTCTGTTCTTTCTAATGAGATCATGCAGGCACTTCCTCTTTTTCTTTTTACTTCTTTTTTAACCTTTTGTTCTATGTGTCATCTTTGCTGACTTTTGTCACACTTAATTGGTTGGTCGTTGTAGTGGAGATATTTATGACCTAGATAACAACATGCCATATTAAAACTGAAAATATGAGTTGGATGAAAAGTTCAATCCATAACTGAGGGGCATATAAATAACTTAGGAAGCTAATGCACTTAAAGTTGTTTCTAGAAAATTTTGATTGGGTAGTAGTGTTAACGGCTTAACCTCACAAAGTGTTGAATATTATTTCAGGGTTTAGTAAAATTAGTTGATCAGACCAGGATTAAAGCAATGCTAAATAATTAAGCTACGCTGTGCTGATAAACCTCAAAATATTATTTCCTAAACTAGTTTCTTAATCATAGGTAAATGCTGTAATGAAACCAAATCTGCTGATTCCTTTTTCCTTTGATTGTTTTCTCTCTGTTTTATGGGAAAAGAAGGAAATTTGAATTAGCAAGAACTTTGCAGTTAACGCTATCAACATGTTCTAATTTCTCATTATAGAACGAGGTCAACATAGGAAAAGAGAAGGCCCTTTCATGGTGTGATCAAAGTTAAATCAAGTTATAAAGTAAGGGATTGAGTTCAAATAAATGAAATATCATTAATTGCATGTTATGTTTTCATTTGAAAACTAGTGTGTGCGTATCTCAAGTTCTTTAAATTTATTTTCGTTGATCAAATCATAAGTTTGAGGAAATGACTCTTGATTTACTCCTCTCAGGCATTGAAGAAAATACATTTAGGATAATCTTGTAATCTATCTATCTCTTTGGATATTTTTTATGATTGAGTTTTGAGTAAATGAAATATCATCAATTGCATGTTATGTTTTCATCTGAAAACTAGTGTGCGTAGGTATCTTAAGTTCTTAAATCTTAGCTTTGTTTTCATTGATCAAATCATAATTTCAAAGAAACAACTCTTGACTCACATTTTTAAATCATTGAAGAAACAAGTATTTATCAATTCATAATTTTAGAGAAATGAATCTTGGCTTACTCCTCTAAAACATTGAGAAAATTCATATTAGTTTAATTTTGCATTGTCTTTTTGGATATCTCTAGGTTTTCAACCATACAGGAGGAACTTCCTTTTCCCCTGAGTTGATTTTCGATAGCTATATGCCTATATCTTGTATCATTGTAATCTTGTTATTGAGTTCTGTTTTTTTGCCTTTCCAGTCTTTTGTTCAATTGAACTTTATAAGTTCATTTTATCCAATTGAGTAACTAGTCACGAAAACCGTTTCTGAGATATATTTTGTTTCTTTGCTATTGTTTGTTTTCTTGGAAGAGGGGTCCTGATTATATTCGTCATGCCTTAGAGACCAGATCAAATTTGAGAATCTTCCTTAAAATTGTGAAGAGATGTATTAGTTATTTGATGAACAAAAACATATCTTTTTATAGGTGCCAAATACAATATACATACAATATTTCAAAGCAGTTTTCAGAATAGTATCACTGAAACAATTGATGGGTTAATTTTGGTGAAAAAGATATGGTCACCTTGATATCGGTGGAAAAGCTTTCTGGAATAGTAGCTGGAGAATAGCCAAATGTTGGCTGGAATAACTTTAAACACTCTCATGCATCTTGATTCCTTAATAATGACAATGGTTTATATCAACACTTGGAACCTAGCATATGCACTGTTGACACCTTTCTTCAAGTTTTAACATGCCAAGACTATTTAAAATATTCTTCTCAAAAAAAGACTATTTAAAATATTCAAGTTATCTACATCCTGACCTCGAAAATTGACTTTCCTCCTATCTATTTCAAGATTTGCTTTCCAATGCAACTCAAGAACCAAGTACCTCACCAATCAAACTAAGAGAAATCAGTACATACACACAAATAAAATTCAAATGTAATTTAAGGACTTACATATAAGAAGAATTTATTCTCTCTCACAAAGAAAATCATGTACCTCCCGAGGTCGTACTATGCTTGCCCGTAGTGTAAGACTTGACTAATCTAAGCCTGCCAAATCTAGGATCAAGTTGGACTTCATAGGTTGTAATGTAGTCAAAGGGATGGGTAGAATATATTTAGGGAAATAGTGACTCAACCCTCCTAAGCTTCCCTTCTTCCCATGCTGTGTAATTTCATATTGGACTTAATACCATAAGGGGTAGGGCTGTAGGGTACTAATCTATTGGACTTAATTAGTAATCAGCATATTTGTTTCGTGTAGAGTTGAATATAAGGTACAAAAATTTGGATTTTCAAAATCCGAAGTCCAATTCATAATCCAAACCAAATATCTAAAAAGTTTGGATTTCGGTTTGAATTTTGTGTTAACCCAAACTATGCCCACCCCTACTACACATTTAGTAAAAAATTTCAATGATGTGAATGGCACTGCTTGTAGCAGTGTATCTGCCTTGCTGGTCATTAAGTATTGCACTTTTCTTGCAATATGTTTTAGGAGGGTAGTTTGTCTGTTGCCTTGGTCATCAACAACATACCTAGCGAAATTCTACATGTTGGGTTTGGGGAGGGTAGAGTGTACCCAGACCATACCCCTACCTTGTGGAGGCTGAGAGGCTGTTTTCGGAGGACCCTCGGCTCGAGTATAACATATCAAAGTAGGTATGAAAAAAGGAAAACGACAGTTAAGAAAACAAAGTAACTAATAAGGAAACATTAACAACCACAAAATAGTGTGATAACCTTAACACAAAAAACAACAGATGAGTGTGATGCCTTGGTCATGTATATATATTAATAGAATGTAGTCAATGCCATCTTGCTAACGAGGTACATTCATTCTTCCTGTTTGTTCCTTCTCCTATTTATTTTTCTCTCTTTTTTTCAAAAAAAAAAAAACAATTAATTCCTGGTGTTGTTAACCCTACCAAGTATATTGCTACATAATCTCATCAAAAAGTGTTATAACTGCTGAAGCGTAGACAGACGGAGCAGTGCTTGGATCTGTTGTTGGAGGCTCTAGGGTGGAGCAGCGCCGAAGTTGTGCTCAAGAAGTTGCTAGGAGGAATGTAGAAGGTTTGTTTACTCTCTTCAAAGTCATATACTTCCTTGCCACTATATTGGTGATTGCAACTGAAATCCAATCTGATGAGTAACAGCAAAGTCTAGTCCAAAAAACAGTTAGGAAATGTGATATTTGTAAGTGAAATGAATCTTAACTACTTGTTAAAGAATGACAAAAGTCCCACATCGGTGGTTAATGAGATGGGTGGACTCCTTATAAGGTTTGGACAATCCTCCTCCCTTTGAGCTAGCTTTTGGGGTGTGAGTTAGGCCTAAGACCTAATTTAACATGGTATCAGAGCAGGGCCCGTCTCACCCGATGTTGGGGTCCCCAAAATCAAAATTGTCCACGCACCAGATGCTAAGCACTGGGCGTGAGGTGTCTCACCCGATGTTGGGGTCCCCAAAATCAAAATTGTCCACGCACCAGATGCTAAGCACTGGGCGTGAGGTGGGGTGTTAAAGAATGACAAAAGTCCCACATCGGTGGTTAATGAGATGGGTGGACTCCTTATAAGGTTTGGACAATCCTCCTCCCTTTGAGCTAGCTTTTGGGGTGTGAGTTAGGCCTAAGACCTAATTTAATACCACTTGTTAGGACTGAAATAAGCAGGTGTAATGCGGAAGCTAGCAAAGCAAACCTCGAAAGACCACGAGTAAGAAGACAAACGAGAAACACATCAAAAGAGACAGATTTAACGTGGTTCGGTCAATCAACCTACGTCCACAAAGGAGATGAGCAATCCACTATAAATATGAGAGTACAAAATATGGAGAGAAACAACCTCAAACAATTCACTCTGAATACAAGGAGGTACACAAAACTCTCCCCCATAACCGCAACTCTCAAAACCCTAGGACTACATTGTGAATGCTAATTAAGTTAGAAGGAACAAACCTATATTTATAGAGTTCTAAAACCTTTCCTACAAGAAAAGGACTAGTCAAAATATTAAAACCTTTTCCTAAAAGGAAAACTTATTTATGGTAAGAAATCAGGGCAAATAACCCCAACAAATCTCCCCCTTGGCCTGAATTTCTGACAAAATAAATTTGTCCACCTTCTTCACATAATCTTTAGGATCTTGCATCTCTTCTCCATAATCTCCTCCATCAAATCTACGTCTCGACACAGAGAACCTCTCTGAAACAATTTCTCCAACAAAAATCTCCATTACTGTCAAAAAGGTTGCGACTAGAACTACACCCGCCAAGATGAACACCCATCTGTAACCTAGTTCCATCATTGAACCATGGCTCTGATACCATGTTAAATTAGGTCTTAGGCCTAACTCACACCCCAAAAGCTAGCTCAAAGGGAGGAGGATTGTCCAAACCTTATAAGGAGTCCACCCATCTCATTAACCACCGATGTGGGACTTTTGTCATTCTTTAACACTACTAAATAAATCAATTAGAATTTCTATTATCAAAAGTATTAGGCTTTTTCTGTGACATGACTAAACTGATGTTCAACGGTGTTGGAGAAACGTTCTTTTGTTTCATAAGTATCTTTATATCTGAAAACATCTTGCCTACACTGATGAACTTCCTTTTACTTAAGTTCCTTTCATGGAAAAGACTTTTTGACAGAATTAAGTCAAAGCATCTACCAGTGAGGGGATCTTGGTCCATTTTGATCTGCCATCTTTTGCAAGTGATTCTGTTGTTGTTAGTTTTTAAACAAAGGAACTAGGGAAATAACAGAGAGAAAAATACTCTGAAAAAAAATATTGCAATGTGGTCAAAGGAAATTGTTTTATTAATAACTCAGAGACATACACTCTATAGCTGCAATTCCTAACTAAAAAAATAGAAAAATATGCTAATGACTTATCTGCAAAATCAAATCACAAAAAATAGGAAACTAATTCCTGAATTCACTTAACATAAAAAGAATTTAAAATCCTAAAAGTTAGCTACCGATAGATTTACTGCAAATCTTTTAGAGATAATTCAGTTATTTATTTATTTTTGCAATATCTAAAACATATTTTCAACCGTTGTGCTGAAGTTCACTTTAGTTAAATATTCAAATGCCTCTTAGCTATGTATTTGTTTGTTTGGTCTCTTGAAAATATCCTATTAATTTCAGAATGAGTTCAATGCAGGTTTTTGGATTGGAGGATTTGGATTAGGGGAGAGCATGGAAGAGCGTAACCCCCTCCTTAATGCTGTTATGGTATGATTCTCTCATGATATTTCTGCTTTGTCCTTTTTCTTTTAGTAGGAAATACTTTTGCTTCTACAGAAGTCTTGAAATGAATATGGAAGGCAAGACAGGCCCATCACTGTTGTTGAACTTACTTAATGAGCATAAAGACTAGAATGATCATAAGATATCTTGATAAGCAATTTTCTTTAGGTCTATTCCCCGTAAACTTATCAAGAGATCTGTTGATTCCAACTTCGGAACTTCATAGATAACAGATCCTCCCTTCTACCTTTCTCCACTTAAATACTAGGGTTCACCAGCAGAATTCAAACTCATCATGTGTTTCTACTGCCTATCGCATATTTCGTGCTCGATTACTTTTGCCATTGAACCAAACCCTTGGTGCTATTCCCCTATATACTTTTAGGAGCTCTTTTGAATACTTACACCTTATGTAATGTAAAATGTAAACTGAACTCAGTTCGACTCGAATGCCACATGAGGATTATATTTTTATAAGGTTTTTAGTGTATTTGAAGGTTCATATCAATAGTTTTACCTATGTCATCTCTCTTGAATCGGGTATGTATAGCCAAAGTGGAGAGTCCATAACATGGATTTTTTTAATATTAGTTGGATCATCTATAGTCCTGCATTGTTGGAGTAGTTTGGTGCTGGTACTTCAAGTGGCAATTTGCAGTACATGTGAAATAGTTGTAGGTGGTTGTGTTGTGTAAAATTTCCTTTATAATCACCTTTGGGTCCATAAGTTGCTAATCTTCATTCAGTCTCTTCACTTGAAGGTCAATGTTCGTGCTAACTTTATATTTTCATTTTTATTACAGCCTTAAAGTTGACAATAAATGTTAGTTTCGTACAAATGGGCTTCTCTAAGTTATGTTTATGTGTGGGTGGGTGGTGGGGGAGGGGGGGTCCTTAATGTCTTTGGTAGGCTGTAAAATTTTGTACTTATTGCATACAGTGGAAAACTCAAGCTTATGATGTTACTGGTTGCAGGATAGTTTACCTGAAGAAAAGCCACGTCTCATAAGTGGCCTTGGACTACCAGGCAAGATGCTTCTGTCACTCATTCAATGCTGCACTCACAGAAACATATTTGCATATAAATGCATGTCAACATAGTGATTGATTTTGTGTTTGAAAAAGAGAGGAGTTTGTTTGTTATAGCTACTTAGTAGTATAAAGAAACAACTTCAGTATCCACCAGATTCAACCCACTTGCTTTCTCACTGTGAAAACTGTTGGATATTTGAGTTAATAATTGTATTCTTCTTGTGGCTGAGTGGATTTACTTGTTTTCTCTACAGAAGAGGTCTTGCAAGGTGTTGCTGCAGGTGTTGATTTATTTGATTCCACGTAAGTGCTAGCTCAGGATATTGGTGTCTCCTTTCCTCTATATCTGAATCTCTTATAGCGCAATTGTGACATTGGATTTATTTTTTTCCAGTTACATCTACCATCTCACACTAGGAGGCTTTGCTCTCACCTTTCCACTTGAAAGCATAGAGAAGCAAGTAACTAAATATCAACCAAATAGTAATTCAGGATGTGATGGCACAAAGATAAATTTGAAAGGAACAGTGTATAGGTAAGTCCTGTTCATCCTTCATACTTACTGTGATATTTGCTATCACTGAAATTTGCAACATACTGGCATACCTACAATTGCACTCGATGTTCCTATAAGTGATAGTATGTAATCTTGCTATGTCCCTCAATAAACTTGGCTTTAGGGCCCTTCTGGGGTGGCTTGTTCTGGCAAAATACTTGGATGAAGTTCACTGATAATGCAATTTGTGTCCTCCATCTCCATCTGTTCTCGCAGGAAGGATACATCTCCTATCGTCGATAATTGCAAGTGTTATACATGCCAAAATCATACAAAAGCTTACATCAATCACCTTCTCAATGTACATGAGATGCTGGCACATATTCTGCTGGAAATGTATGAAGCTCTCTGTCTTGTTCTCTGGCTCTGTTGTCATGTCTTCACGATACCTAATGTTAGCTTGTCTTTCATTTCCCAGGCATAACACACATCATTTTCTGGGATTCTTCCGCTCTATCAGAGAGGCAATTCACGAAGGAAAATTCGAGCAATTTCGACAGAAATTCATAGGAAGTAGGCATGAACATATCTTTTCTGCTGCTTTAAACGTCTAACTTGATATTTCTGTGCAAGATTAGATTTAAAGCACAGCTTTAAGAGAAAAATACTGGTTTTTCGTTGACATCTTTTCATATCCCCTGACTGCTGTGCTTTTTTACTTAGCTATTTAAACTGCATGAAGGTAATTTTACATTTTAAAATGATAATAGATTAAAATAAACAACTACACAATGAGTTTTTGGTATGGAGGAAAACAAATTCACATTTGGTTGGTCAAAATATTTTTTCTAAAAAACATGTTTTTAAAAAATAAGCAGAACAACTTCTCTAATGGGAGCAAGTAAAATAGTTTCATAAATGACATTTCAAGTTCATCGTCTCTTTTCCACCCTTAAACCTTAATGACCCTAACATCCACTCCCGACCCTTGCTCGTCACCTTACTCTCATCCATAGTACTTTTCTAGATTACATATAAATGTTTTAGAAGCAATAATTTCTTACCAACCAAACATAAAAGATGCTCATTTCTTAGAATTTTTATTATTTTATGTTTTTTTTTTCAGAAAAAAAAGTGTTTACGGCTTGGCATCTATCATTTTTTTAAAAAAAATATAATATTGTATTACTCTTTCCTAGGAGTTTTCACCATTTTTGTTTTTCTTGATGACTTGAACCCATAATTCTAGAATTAGAGGTGGGGGCAAATTAGTTAACTAGTCAAAATCCCTAACATATTTATTTAAAACAACTACACTTGAAACTAATTATTAAAAAGATCAATATTTTGGTTTTATAGCAAATTAAATGTATCCAATTCTAATTCCTTATTTTCCTCTATTAAGGCCCACATCTTGCAAAAATATTGTAACAATACCTTCCAGCCAAACAAACGTTCTCTCTCCAATTTACAATTATCTCAAAACAATTTTTTTTCTCACTCATCCAATTCCTTTCTTCTATTGTTCTTCAATTTTCATTCCCCCGTTTCTCTCTTTATATATGTGACGTTTTTTCGATTATTTTCATAAATTGATAAAAATCTCTCAAAAAATATTCACAACAATCTCATTGATTTTAGATATGTATCTTTTCTCGATTTTTATGTATTTTACTGACTGTTTAAACCTTTCAATATATTTGTTTGTATAATTGTTGAGTAAATCCTCTATTTTCGATTAGGGTTTTTGATAAGGAAAAACTCAAATTTTGTAATCTTATCTTCATTTTGTTTTCGTACTATGAATTGGATACAATTTTTGTAGTTCATAATATCATTTTGTTGGGATTCTGTGGGATACAACATATTTATGTATTTCTTCTATTTGTATGCCTATTAATTTTGTATTTATGTCATCAAATTGTAGATTGTATTCTTTTTGTCATTTTTCAGATTGTATTATTGTTTTGTGTATTAGTATATTTCTTAGATTGTATTCTTTTTGTCCTTTTCCAGATTGTATTCTTCGTTTGGTGTATTAGTATGTTACTCCTTCTGTCCCTAATTACTTATCCACTTTTGATTTGGTACACATATTAAGAAAACAATTAATGACATAGTGAGTTTACCATTTTACCCCTATTAATTATGAAATGGATGAAAAGTTCTACATTTTTCGAAGTAATTAGTCATTTAATTAAGGGTATAATAGGTAAAAAAAATTGTCCTTTCTTGATTTGTCAAAATGGACAAGTAATTAGGGACAACTATAAAAGAAAAAGTGGATAAGTAATTAGGGATAGAGGGAGTATTAAATTGTATTCTTTTTGTCTTTTTCCAGATTGTATTCTTGTTTTGTATTCTTAGACTGCATAATTGTTTCGTGTATTAGTATGTTATTAAATTATATTATTTTTATCTTTTCCCAGATTGTATTCTTATTTACTGATTGTATCCTAATATATTTAATATTCCAAAGAACCAGCTATGAAATAAAAGCATAAACTTTTGTTCATACAAAAAACCTATAATGGATGCCATCAATACCAAACTATAGTTAATTTATGTATTCATTATATAGGTATTCATGATATAATTTCATGTGCATTTTATTTTGTCGTATTCAAAACAACCGGCTACAAAATAGTAGCATGACCATTTATCCATACCAATTCCTACAAGGGATACAAAATTTTCTTTAAAATCTAAAAATAAACAGTCAAACGCAAGTTCATTTCATTCACAAAGAGTATTTTTATATTAAAATTTCGTATTCATACTAATTTTGTATCAAAATCAAATTTAAAATACAAAATGTCAAATACATACACAGATCCAACTACTTTTATCCAAAAAAAATAAAATCGAAACTTAAACAATACCTAGCAATTTTTTTATTTTCACTGATAATCTTGAAGTTTAAAAGAAATCGATGGAATTCAATTTGAAATATCAATCAGTTAATTCAACAGTTTTTTATCCAAATAAAATTGACGCAAATCAACAAAAACTCCACTTCAATTTCAATGGAGTTATTTGAAAATGGATATTGAAATTTTTTAGAAGAATGGTGAAAAGACGTTTGAATGAAGAAGAGAGAGATGACAGGACTCTAATAGTAACTGATTAGAGATTTTTGCATGTTTACCTTTTATGAAACATCTTCTCCCTTTATTTTCTCCATTCTATTGTTAAATATTTGTATTCTTTCAAATTAAATAAATACAAAAGTCATCCTTATAACAAACTAAAATATTGACATTTTAAATAAATATTGAAAGTGTTGACAAGGGGTACTATTAGATGCTAAAATATTGTTGTTTTGAAAAATTTTCCGTAGTGAAAGTTGATTATCATCTGAACAACCCCTCTTGTCATCTTATTATTTTAATTGATTTCACATCTAACAACTATCTATTGTTTGTCTCTACTTTTAAAGACTTGATGTGCTAATGTGATGTTCAAAGTCTTTTAAAAGGAAAAGTACTCCTCAACTTTACAATGTAGAGTTGATATAGAAAATAATAAACAGAAGCATGGGTACAAACCTGACAGTTGGGATAAAAAGTATCATCTTTACTTTTTTGTGAATAAACCCATATTTAATGAAGGGAAAGAGGACAAATATACCTTCGAATTATCATAAATGGTATGTCAATACTCTCTGTCATACTTTTAAGATATTGGTATCCGTACCGTCTAATTTTTGTGATGTATATATACCCTTTGGACTAACTGAGAGACACGTGTTTCAATCTTAAAGACCTGCCCGAAATTTATTTGAATTTTATCCATAACTTAAAACCCACTAGACTAATTAAAAGGAAAAACTACATATATGGGTCATAAAACCCAAAATAATTACAAGTTCATACCCAAATCCAAAGTAATTCATGAAATACTCTTTCTCTCATAAATAATTACAGCTCATACCTCTCATTATTAAGGTTGATAATTTTCGCTTAATTGATACTAAATCAGTTTCATATATTGTATTGATATCATTAAGGTTGATAATTTCGCTTAATTGATACTAAATCAGTATATATACATATATTGTATTGGTATCATTAATGTTTCTTATTCAAAAATTACTCATTAGTCAATGATACTATAAGAGTGTGTTTATATAGATATATATACTTATTTAATATCAATTAAGCGAAATTATCAGCCTTAAGGATACCAATATAGTATATGATACTGATTCAATATCAATTAAGCTAAATTATTATGAAAATATAGTGTAATTATTTAGTGGGGTATGCATGTAAAGGGGTATATATTTGTAATTATTTTGCTTTTATGGGGTATTTGTTTAGCTTCCCCTTTAACTTATTAGTAACTTTCAAATATGACAATAGTATGGACTTGATTAAGAGATCTATAGCTATAGCTTGATTAATTATGATTTGTAGCTACATGTTAAAAAGAGGAGAGAAGAGACCGGGATATGAGAGATGTGATTGAAATTTGAAAAAGAGAGAGGGGATAAATACATGTTGTATCATGTTGTATCACGAATACAATTGTTTTGTATCAACAAATATAATTGCATCGAGTTGTTCAGATTGTATCAACTAATATAATTATATCAAGTGTATATGTTTCTTGTGTATTCACTATGCATCAAGTGTATCAATGAATACAATTGTATGTTCTTGTGTATTGACTCTGCATCAAATGTATCAACGAGTACAATTATATAGAGTGTATATGCTCCTTATGTATTCATTCTGCATCAGGTGTATCAATTAATACAATTTGTATCAACATGTACAATTGTATCAAGTCGTATCAACATGTACAATTGTATCTTCCTTAAAACCTTTTCTGTACCAACGAAATTCCTAAGATCTGCAAAGTATATGGATGTAAAACTGAAATATAAAAAAGCATACATCAGGACAAAAGGCAAAAGAGTATTTCTTAACATGATCAAGAGATCGCAAATAGAACTCAAAAGGAAACTGTTTTCTTAGTTAATGGACATTATATATATATATAAAACCCGTGGGAACACAATTCCATCACATCAACAACATATACCCAGTATAGTCCCACAACTGGAGTCTGAAAAAGTATAGTGTATGCCCTCATAGAGGTAGAAAGGTTGTTTCCGAAAGACCCTAGGCAAATCAAAGTATTCATGAAAAAGAAAATATGAGAATGAAGAAAGACATGTCAAATAATAAGGGAATAAGCAGTACGGAGCATCCAGAGAAAGGAAACAATAACAACAAAATAATGCAGTAACTAAAAGAAAATACATGCATACGGGATAATACTACGATATACACGGTGATCCTAAGCTCCCACCAAGCCTAAACCCGCCGAAAAGCGAGTCAGAGCTCAACGACTTACTAACCTTCTACCCTCCACCACATCAAATATGAGAAACGATATGATTCAACTACAAAGAGGAAATGAAACTCGGATAGTCAACAAGGGAAAAAGGAGCCAAGTGCAAGATAACCCACAGTATACATATTAACAACTTCAGCAAACATCATTATTTCATCGTGCATTACAAAGCATATTTTTATAAGAAAGGGCAATAACTGTCAACTCAGAGTAGAGAGAACAATACAATTAGCCCATTTCTACTTTAAAATCTACCGCAATTTTGTGAC